ATCCCATTCATATATGTAGCCTGAACACCCAACTAAAATAGCATTTACCGTAGTAGAGCACAGAGGACAACCCCAGGAAGTCTTCCTTCCTGTTCATTAATGGTACCCTTCATATTAAGAGGTAGAAGTCATGCCCATCTCAGCAGCCCTGATTTTAGATAACCTTGACTGGACTAGACCATAATGACATTATAAATTTTCTCTTGAATTTCAAATCTAGCACAAGAGGACTACACAGCTTCTACCTCTTATTTCCTGGAATACTCACTGGAGCACAAGCCACCATATTTAAATGTTCATACAGTAAGATGCAGGCTTTGAACCTTATATGAACTAAGGCTAGCCCCAAGCCCGGGATACTCCCATCTCTGCCTCCTACATGTTAGGAATACAGTTATGTATCAGTATATTCAGCAATGTTCGCCTTTTTAAGCTATTTTGCTTACTAGCTATTTAAGGGAAAAAAAAGTGTCTTAGCCAGGAGGTGGTGGTGCACACCTTTAATCCCAGCACTTGGGAGGCAGAGGCAGAAGGATCTCTGAGTTTGAGGCCAGCCTGGTCTACAGAGTGAGTTCTAGAACATCCAGGACTAGAGAGAAACCTGTCTTGAAAACAAGGGGAAAAAAAGGAGCAAAAAACAAACAAATAAACAAACAAAAACACATCTTAGGGCTGGAGAGATGGCTCAACAGTTAAGAGAACTGGCTGCTCTTTCAGAGTACCTGAGTTTAATTCCCAGCACCCATATGGTGGCTCACGACCATCTGTAACTGTAGCCTCATGGGATCAGATGACCTCTTCTAGTACACAGATAGATGCACATGCACACAAAGCATACAGATACATAAAATACTTTTAAAAAGAAATCTTAAAATTACTTTTCCTTGCCGGGCAGTGGTGGTGTATGTCTTTAGTCCCAGCACTTGGGAGGCAGAGGCAGGTGGATTTCTGAGTTCGAGGCCAGCCTGGTCTACAGGGTAAGTTCCAGGACAGCCAGGGCTGTACAGAGAAACCCTGTCTCGAAAATAAATAAATAAAAAAAATTTACTTTTCCTGCTTGATCTTGGGACTGGCTGGAAAAGAATACATTTATCCTATCTATTTCTTAAACACACTGTCTCTTCCTTAGCGTATCGTTTTATTTCCCCACAGGTATTCGTGTGGCCTGGCTCCTCTCCATCAACTTCACTTTGCTGCTAAGGCTGTCTTCCAGGCCCTATCTTTCCTGAGAGATGAAGCATGCCGACTGCTTCATGCAAACTACTGCTCTCTTCTCAGTGATCTGCTTTCAGAAGTTAAAGATTCAGCTTCCACTACTTTTCACAGAGGGCAAGACCATGTGTCTTGAAATTTGTGGTAGCATTAAGAACAATTCATTGAAACTCACGCCTTTAATCCCAGCACTTGGGAGACAGAGGCAGGTGGATTTCTGAGTTCGAGGCCAGCCCGGTCTACGGAGTGAGTTCCAGGACAGCCAGGACTACACAGAAAAACCCTGTCTGGAAAAAAACAAAACAAAACAAAACAAAAAAAAGAAAGAAAAGAAAAAAATTAGCAAGCTTGTTATTATCAACTGAAAGGAAACACCAAAAAAAAAAAAAAAATTCAGTTTGACTAAAGGACAACCTTCCACTATGTACTATGCATTAATTACTTGATGCAAGCTCAAATAAAATACCTTCTCTATCTTAAATTTGACTCTAAACAGAAAGACACGGTATAGTGGGGTAAATGGTACCGAGGGGACAATGTGACTTACTCAGATTCATAATAAGGGTGTGACTGAGCTGAAAGAGAATCATAACTCTCCAGCTCTGCCTCTCTTATTGAGGTGTCCTTCTTAGCCACTCTCTTCCAGTAATGGCCTTTTCTCAAAAAGCAGCCACAACTGCAGGCAAGGTCAAAAGAGAAAGCAGCCAAATTTAAAGGAAAACTTAGCTTCTCCCTGTAACTGACTCAACACTCAATAATGTGTGGTGCCCTCAAAACTGCAAACCAGCACTTAGCCATCTCCAAGTCAGCCCCTGTCAACACCTAACTCACTGGCACAGAGCAGAGCTGAGGGAGCTCAGAACGTTCCTAGGCTGAGGCTCACAGGGAGCAGAAGAGGGTGATCTCACAATGTCTCTTTATGATCTCCACGTCTCATTATTCCATAGATCTGATTCAATGTCAGGTTCCTCTTCAGAGGAAACCCTCTAAACTGAGCACTTTTTTGACTTACAACTCCAAACTGGCTGAGGGGATAAAAGCAACTTTGACTTATTTCCATCCCCTCCCCCAAGATTTCAAGGTCTCTTTGCTGATTTGTTTGTTTGTAAACAGGGTCTCAAGTAGCCCAGGAGGACTTAACTCCAGATCCATCTGCCCTGGCTCCCAAGTGCCAGGATTACAGACATTCATCACCACACCTAGCTTGTCTGTTTTGTTTTTTGTTTTTGTTTGTTTCTTTTGAAACAGGGTCTAATTCCTTATGTAGCTCAAGCTGGCTTTCACACTGACAATATTCTTCCCTCCTTGTCCCCATGCTTGTCATCTTTATCTTCCTCTTCTTCTTTTCCTTTTTTATGTTTGAGATAGGTTCTTACTATGTGCCTTTGGCTGTCCTAGAACTCACTATGTAAACCAGGCTGGTCTCAAACTGAGATCTACCTACCTGCCCAGGTGTAGGCCACCTTGCCCACCCTACCTCAGCTTCTTTAGTACTGCCCAGGTGTAGGCCACCTTGCCCACCCTACCTCAGCTTCTTTAGTACTGGATAATAAGGTATTAGCCACAATTCCAGACCTGGGGTCTCTTAATATTTTAGAAGGTCAACACAGGAGAGAAATTCAAGAAACATCTTCAGGTTCAATAGAATTTTGTGAATGGCCGGGCAGTGGTTTCGCATGCCTTTAATCCTAGCACTTGGGAGGAAGAGGCAGGCGGATTTCTGAGTTCAAGAGTTCGAGGCTAGTCCGGTCTACAGAGTGAGTTCCAGGACAGCCAGTGCTACACAGAGAAACCCTGTCTCAAAAAACCAAAAAAAAAAAAAAATTTGTGAATGAAAAACTTGTGTTTCTGAAAGTACTAATACAAAGTAATTTCTTTGTTGTTTGGTTTTTAGAGACAGGTGTTCTCTATGTACTCTGCTGTCCCTAGAGCTCATACTGTACACCTGAACTCAGAAATCACTCTTGCCTCTGCCTCACAAGTGCTGGGATGAAAGGGGCACACCACACAGCCTGGCTAAAATTTTATCTTTTTAATATATTTTACTTATTTCATTCATCCATTCGTTCATTCATTTATTTTATGTGTATGGATGTTTTATCTGCATGTATGTCTGTGCACTGCTCACGTGCCTGGTGTTCAAGGTAGTCCACAAGAGGCTGGAGGGAGGATCCCCTGGGACTGGGTTACAAACCACTGTGAGCAGCCATGTGGGTGCTAGGAATCAAGACTTCATCCTCTAGGAGAGCAGCAATGATCTTAACTGCTGAGTAATCTCTCCAGTCCCCAAAATAAAAACTTAAGTTTGAGCGGCTTCTATAAATATGAATTGGGCGATTTAAAACCTAATTTTAACTAAGTTGGTGTCTATGTTTATCAAATTTGTTATGGCATTTTAGGCAAAGACACAAAAAACTATTCAATAAGGGAATGCTATTTGGAATGATGGGTTACAATTACTTCTTGGGGGAAAAAAAACAAGACTTGATTAAACTTGATTAAAGGTAATACAATATCCCTACGACCACTTGTTAAGCTTAAAAAAAAAAAATCTATGCATCCCATCATTCTTTAGATGTAACTAGAGGCTGGTTTACACCTAGGATATACAAGAAAGCATCAGATAAAGGCATCAAATATCAGACTGGTCACAGTTGCCAAACACAAGCACAGCAAAGGAAAACCACCAATACAAAGTTAAAGAAACAGGGCCTAAGGGGTTTACACAGACCCTAAAAATGCAATGCTCACTCTGTACTAAAACTCATGGGCAACCACCAATCCTGACTTACCTCACTTTCTCTATTCCCTACATCCTTCCTCTAGAATTTCTTCACATCTCTGAACATTTCTCCAAGGCCTTTCCTTTCCTCTCAGGGAAAGTGATACAGCACCTGGTTTCCTCCACATTTTACTACCTCACCACTGAAGGCCCAAGTTTTGTTTTGCTTTCTCCTATTGGATATTAATCCTGTCCCCACTCACCTGTAACTACATTTCTTTCATCACTTCGACCTTACCACAAATAATTTTGCCCCTCTCCTTCAAAACAGAGCACGTATCTCCTTTCTGATATTTGTAATTCTAGATCACAATCAACACTGTCTTTCTCTCCCAGGAACTGTCACCATAGCCCTAGGTCTGAGTCCTTATCTTCTTAAATGAGGCCTCTTCCAGAGTTTGCCAACATTAGTTTGGCCAACTGGGATTCCACCCTTAGCCCTTAGGCAAAGGCTAGCCAAAACTACTTTCCTCCCCAGCCTAGGCTTTCCCTCCTTCGCCGTTAAACCCACCAATTTCGAGCCCTGCCGAGTTTCCCCCTACCCGCAGTGTCTGTCTTGCCATTATCCTATCTCCACTATTCCCCACTCCTGAATGCACCTCCTCTCCCAGGCCTTACCCGTAACCCTGACACCGGGAAGGCCTCTGCCAGCGTCCATAGGCGTCTCTCCACCCGGGTTCCTCCGCTCTTGAGTAACTGCCCCCACGCCCCTTTCCCTCTGGGGCCCCGCGTGCCGCCAGGAGCCCCCACCTCGAATGAGCTCCCGCTGTCACTTGGCCTCTCTTCCACAAGATGGCGGAGCTGCTGCCCCCACCCCAGGGTCCCCTCTGCACCCTCCTGCCCCCTCCCCCAAGCTCCCGTCCAGTCCCTCCCTCCGCCCTCGCCACCGGCCTTGGCCCCGAGTCCCACTGCCCCCTCCTGCGGTGAGCGGGTGACCCAGGCCTAAGCTCAGCGACGTGCCAACGCTGCCATCTCCACTAGTCCCCTGCCCGCACCGTCTCCTCACCATAAACTTGAGCGCTTTCTCCTGCAGCACCGCCTCTGCCGGGTCCATAATCGCCCGGGCTACTGGGTCTGCTCTCCGCCGGGGCCGCCCCTTTCGTGCCAGGCCGCAGCCAACGCAGCGCCCGGATCCCGCCTCCTCTTCCTTCCCCCGCCCTCTCTTTACCTCCTGGCACTGGCAGGGGGCCCGAGGAAGACCGCGGCTCTGCGCGTGCGCGCTCCGCTGCCTCACGGGACTTGTAGTTCTGGAGGCTGGAGCGGCAAAAGGCGAGGCCTCGCGGCGAACAGCAACTCCCACGGATCACTGCGTAGAGTCGCGGCTATGTGCAAGCCAAATGTAAAGGACTCGAGAGCCCGGAGGGGAAGTAGGCTAATGGGAATTGTAGTTTTCAGCCTTTAAGAAGGCAAAGCCAGAATGTCACCGTGGTTACCAAACGACGCCAGTAGCTGCTCTCCTGGCATTTGATAGCAAGATGGCGACTGGTGCTTCCTCTGTATTCCAAATACTGGAAAAACAGAGAACCCAAGATCCTTGGGCCTCCCTAATTGTGATTTTAGAGAACCAGACCCTACTAAAGTTCATACATCGGGCATCTGCGGAAAGACTGAGACCTAGAGACTCTGAACCAAGTGTGCATGTAACAGCAGCCTCAACATCAATGCAAGATTCCGAAGTCCTCCTAAGCTATTATTGCCTCTCGTTTCTGAAGAGCCTTTTCTCTCCCAGAGCCAGCTAGGAGCAGATAGAACTTGTTCCAGGAAACCTTGAGTTTAGCACTCAGAAAGTATGGACTACCATTGCTAACCCTGAGATCTAAGCCCTGTGTTGCATAAAGAAATACAATGACCATCAATGAAGCCTATAAGTAGTGTCTTTGGCCATAAAAGCCCGAAATGGACAGGGTGTGGTGGCATATGTCTTTAGTCCCAACACTCGGGAGGCAAAGACAGAGGCAGGTAGATCTAGTGAGTTTGAGGCTAGCCTGGTCTACAGAGTGAGTTCCAGGACAGCAAAGGCTATCCTGAGAAACCCTGTCTTGAAAAATACAAAAGAGAGAGAGAAGATGAAGCTGAGGAGATGCCTCAGTAGATAAGAGTGTTTCCCGTGAAAGGACAAGGACCTGAGTTCAAGTCTCTAGAACCAACATAAAAAGCTGGGTATATGGGCTCAGTGGTTAAGAGCACTTGCTACTCTTGCAGTGAACCTGGGTTCGATTTCCAGCACCCACCTGATGACCTGCAGCCACTACTGTGCCTCGCCTAAAGTAGATCTTTAATTATGAGATCATCATAGGCAGGAAAACAGGCCTTAGAGAATAGCACTTAGGAATAACACAACAACCAATTTTGGCTAGGTTTCTGTTCTTTCTTTTTCTGGTTGATTGGTTGATTGGTTGGTTGGTTGGTTCTGGGTTTGGTTTTTGTTTTGTGTTTTACTTTTTAAAATTTATTTTGTGTATATGTAGGTGCGCATGGCTTGTGGAGTTCAGGGGATAGCTGGTGAGTTTGAGGTCCACAAGGAAGTCCATAGGAAGTTTCAGGACAGCCAGAGCTACAAGGTGAAAGTGTAAGGCCCCCGGAGTGGGGAGACACCACTCAAGCCACAGGAGATTACGACTACCCAGAATCACGCTGCAAACCACAAAAGGCTATATTTCCAGATTTTGGGGTATCAGCCGGCTGAGGCTGAGACTCACAAGAAGAGTGTCGATCTCGAGGCTCAGGAGCAAGGGGTATTTAAAGGAGAAAACCACAAACTAGGGGGGTACAATCCAGGAGGTAAGGGGGAATCATAAGAACATCGACAGTATCATAAAAACAGTGGAAGGTCCCCAGTCCATTCGATCATGTGGGAAACACACCCTGTGTACTTATTTTTTTAAGAATTTAATCTTGTTTAATCATCTATCATGTGGCCAGCCAGTCCTTGGAACAGCCCAGATGACTGGTATTTTCTTTATGGTCAACCAGTTCCTAGAACCCAGAGCCCAAAGCCTATGAACCAGATGACCTGCATTCTTGGCTCTGCCCTTTTGTAGTCAGCTAAGTTCCTGGAGCACGGATGGCCTGGCTTCAGCCTCTATATGCCAGGAGGCTCAAAAAGGTTTATTCTTAAAAAAGAAAAGAAAAGAAAAAAAGCCGGGCTGTGGTGGTGCACGCCTTTAATCCCAGCACTTGGGAGGCAGAGGCAGGCAGATTTCTGAGTTCAAGGCCGGCCTGGTCTACAGAGTGAGTTCCAGGACAGCCAGGGCTACACAGAGAAACCCTGTCTTGAAAAAAAAAAAGGTTTATTCTTTTCAAAAGCAAGTCTCAAACAAAGAAACAAACAAGTTATTACTCTTCTTCCACAGTGTAAGTCCCAGGGATCAAACTTAGATCATTAGATTTGGTAGCAAATGCCTTTACCTACTGAGCCATCTCACTAGACCAATTTAGTTTTGACAGAAGGCAAATATACTTACTCTACAGGTTAAAGGAAGACCAATTAGCCTGCAGTGGTGCTGCAGAAGCCAACACCAACCTGATCTGCATAGTTGAATTCCAGATTAGCCTATACTACGAATGGGAGCCTTTCTTTTTAAAAGTAGTAACATCAATCACAGCTGCTGCCACTGTCACTTTATGCCCATAACTAGAAATTTTACATTAGTAATTTATAAGAAACCAGGCATTGTGACATATGACTTTAATCCCAGCACTCGGGAGGCAGAGGCAGGCAGATCTCTGAGTTCAAGGCCAGCCTGGTCTACAGAGCAAGTTCCAAGACAATCATGGTTCCACAGAGAAACCCTATCTTAAAAAACAAAGCAAAACAACAAAGAAGGACTGGCAGGGGGTCTGCAGCCTTCTCTGTCCACTCATGTAGAAAGTGAGAGTTGGTAAAGCAAATTGGGTAACTCTCTCTATAGCCCAGGAACTTGTTCTGTAGACCAAGTTGGTCTCAAAATCAGAGATTCCCCATCCTGAGTGCTGGAATGTAAAGTATGCACCACTAACACCTGCTAACCAAGAGGTTTGTTTTAAAGGCTCCACTTGCTAAAACACTCATGTACATATGAATTCAAAGGAAACTGTCAGGGACTGGCCACAAAAAGAAAAAAAAATAAAGCTAATCTTTGTTAAAATTGGCTACTTACAGGTTGGTTTGGAGGTGCATACTTTTAATCCTAGAACCCAGGATCAGGAACTTGGGACCAGCCTGAACTATGTGGCATTTTCTCAAAAGCAAACAAAACCAAAAACCACCTTTCATGTTAAATCGATAAATCCAAGTTAAGGACATTTTGATGAACCAACCTACCTCCATTTTAGGCTTAAAACACAAATTAGGCTAAAGACAAATTAGGTCTATTCCTGTTTATATGTTTTTGCAGGATTGGGCTATGCCTCACCTGTAATTTTAACTACAAATGGTTCTGTACTGCCTGTTCCAGAAAATGGCAACCATGTCTTTGTTTGAAATTGTTATGACCATCTTGCAACCCTACCTTTGTTTCAAGGCTATTATATCCAGGCATCTTTAATCTCAACACTCAAGAGGCAGAGGCAGGTAGATCTTTTGTGAGTTCTAGGCCAGCCTGGTCTACAAATTGAGTTCCATGACAGCTGGTCTAGTAACAGCTCTTGTTAGGACCACCTTGTTATATTCTGTATCTGTAATCCTGCCTATTTGCCTGCCAAATCCCCCATTTGGAAACTCCCTAACCCTGAGCTATAAAAACCTTATCTTTCCTACATGCTGACCTTTTGAACCTATCCTGGGAGTGGGGGCAGCCTGAGTACATTAATTAAAAAAAAAAAAAAACCTTGCTTTAATTATATTAACGGTGATTTTCCTCGCATCTTGTAAAATTACACTTTCTCTCTCTTTCTTTCTTTCTCTCTCTCTCTCTTTCTTTCTTTCTGTTCCTGGCTGTCCTGGAACTTGCTTTCTAGACCAGGCTGCCTCAAAAAGGCATGCACCACACCGCTCTAGCTTTTCTTCTTCGAGGCAGTCTTGTAATTTATCTCCATCCTGACTGAACTTGAAATCTTCCTGCTTTAGCCTCATAAAAGCTGTAATCACAGGTATTAAAACACAAAGCCCAGACTAGAGACTTGCTTTGATATAACCTTTGTAGCCAACCAGTTTAAGCAAACTTTTTGGATCAGAGGAAAGAGACCTGAGGAGACTAATTCTTAGTATGTGTCAGTCCCTAAATTCACTCCCTCCAACAGGAGAAAAGAACTAGAGAGCTATTTCTAGCTCATCCTTTTATTGGTTAATTGGTTGTAATTAGCTAAACTTCTCTGATCCTCTTTTTTTGGGGGGGGTTGTTTTTGGGTTTTTGTTGTTGTTGCTTTATTTTGTTTTCCAAGACAGTTTCTCTGTGTAGCCCTGGCTGTTCAAGAACTCACTCTTTAGACCAGGCTAGCCTCAAACACCTGCCTCTGCCTCCCAAGTGCTGCTGGGATTAAGGCATGCATTACCATCTTCCAGCTCCGATGCTCTTTAAAAACATTTACATATATATATATATTTGTACACACACACACACATATATATATATGTCATACAGTGAAACCTCCAAACTACTCCATAAGTAGAAAGAAAGGCTTATTGGGAATCAGACTGCCAAGCCTGGGGGCAGGGGTGTGGAGTGGGTGGAGAGCAGAAAACCAAGAGGATTTTAGATGTTATTCATCAGGGTGGGAGTCCTTGTGCTGAAACAAGCTATTCAAATTGAACAGGAGCTAAATGCTCTCATTCCAAGAAAGTTAAGAGAGGGTTCCGGGCATACAGAAATATCAAATATGAGTCTTTTCTACCAAATACTATAAAATATTTGTTTAGGATAAAGAATTCAAATATTTTTACCCTTACTCTCGGTAAAACTTTTATGCAAATGTTTTAATCTCTTCCCCAATCAGTAAACCCTTTTTTTTTTTTTTACACAAAAGTCCACTTGTATTCCAGGAATTTGATAGCCTGGGGCCCTGACCCCTTTCTCCTTAGAACAACCCTTTCCCTTTCCTAGATTTTCTCTTCAGATTAAATTCAGACTGTGAGATTGGCCCCCAACCAATGGGGAA